TCGTGTCTATGATGGTGAACTTATCGGAAAGATGACTGCTGACCAGCCTGACGCCTAACAAGTTGTTACATGCAGTAGTTGCAGAGTTGGAATTGTAACGCAACAAGACCACACGAAATGCGTCCTCACTTTGATTCAGAAGTTGACAAAGTCAGCAGCGGGACTGACATTAATCAAACGAACATTCCTAATGATGGTGCTTTTTGCTTGCCAATACAACGTTTTCTTCTAAGGTCCGTGTTTTCAAATTATATTGTGGGTTTTTCATGTAATATGCTGTGGTTCCTCATAAAATTCAATAACTTTTGCCCGTGACACCAAATTTACACTTTTCCCATTTTGATTGCATCCTACATATTTTAATGCTCTTTCAGCTCATTTGCTACTAATATGCTATATTGAAGAAAAAGCATCCATTCGCGTGCATAAAGTCTATTTTGACTATGACATGCCTTTTGCATCTTTCACGCTGCATTTCTGTTTTCCTTCTCCTAATTCTAACTGACTAAGACTCGTTAGATAGCTCGTGATTTACCAACTCACATTTGAATGAATCGGCTTGCACTCGGTCCTGCCAACTATATTGACGGCGTCCGTCTAATTTATTGCACCTACTACAAATGTCCTCTCTGATCTTCTCGGTTCAAGTCTGTTACCGGTCTCCGCTTGCTACCCGGTATAAGATCCTTATATAAGACACGTTGCTTTGTCTGCTCTGGCTTATTGTCATGTTTCTATTTTTTTAATTTTCCGCTTATTGGTTTTTCTCCCTTCCACGTACTCATTGACTTCCGTTGCCCTAAGGACTTGTACTGGAAGGTGGATAAAATCAGGCATTGCCTTTACCCTACCTGCGGTGTATTTCGCACTAAACACTCAAGTAATTGATGTAATCTCATTCCACTTCGTGCTGAACATACCAATTACGTCGAAAAATTAGTGAATTTTAATTCGAGCTGCCGCCAAAGACTTTCACTGTAGGTGGACCCATTATTGTAGTTCGTCGGCCACCAGTTACCGCGCAATCGGTTAGCAAACAGCGAAGGCTCAGACAACCGTGATTGCGTGGAAAGTAATGACTGAATAAATTTCAGCCTAACGTTCTTAACTACAATACATTGAGGAGGACGGACTGTATGTTGTTGCAAGGTTTGCTCGATTATAAATCGCAAGAATTCACCCAGACTGGATTACCCGTAGATGGGTGAAGTTTAGACAAAACCCGATATGTCTTTATTTACATGAATGCGCACTATGTGTGCAAACAGATAAATCTGCTGTTCCTGCCAAGTGAAGTCGCACTTAGCTGTTTCGTTTTTAACTACCGGTTACTACAGGTGACTTGCGAGGTTAATGAGCGTGTGCAGTTAATAGTTAGGTCGAGTAATCATACGTATGCACCGAAACTTTTGGGGAGAGCACACCATTGATTGAGTCACATGGGCGGGGCCTTTACATCGACCGTGCCGTTCTCACTGAACATTGTTTTTACAATATGCCTATGGCTAGATTATTTTTCATAGAATACTTCAATAATGATCGCTGTCAAATTATTTCCAAAGACTACACTACGCTGTTTTGAATACTTTTGGAGTATGATACAACATACTTCGCACTTGAAGATGGTCCTTCTTGATTAGAAATCCACTTATGGGGCCGTGTACCGTCCGTCGGTAAATATACAAATTTATTTATTTATAACTTGTAACGCTGGCCTCCTAAAAGAATGTAGCCTTAGATTATTCTATCCAGAAAGGATTATTTGATGCTGGATCATACTCACCGTTAACTCAATTGACACCTGTACACAGTGTCTTTGTTCATTCATATAAATTTAAAGCTCTGATAATGTAATTTTGGCTAATCCGTAGTCGATATCGTAAGTTTGAGAAAAGTAATTATCTGGATACATAAAGCTTATTTTGACTTGACTTGAGTCATGATAACATTTTATGGGGAATAAGCGCCTTAAAATTTTACAAACAGATAATAAAATCTTTACATTTTTGTCTTAATTGAAGAAACATTCGACAAAGTACACGTTAAAAGATCTGACCCTCAATTATTCAATCATACTCAGTGTAGTGAATTTTCATTTGGGTACCGAAAACGATGATATCTAGGTTGCATTATTCTACCACCCATTGCAGAGTTTGCTAATCCCTTGTCCAACAGGTACACCATCCTTGAGTAATCATACAAAAGATTAAAACTGTATTCTAACAGTGACATTCAGGAAAGAAATATTTTTCTTCTGTGAGTGAGGTTTCATTGAACACAATACATGTAATCCGCCCCAAACGACTACATAATAAAAATTCACTAAACCTGCTAAGGAAAGTTCTTAGTCGAAGATATCTGTAAATGGGGCAGAAACTCGAGGAACTCAGAGGACCGCATCATCCAGATACGATACTATACGCATTAGTTCACGTTACCATGGACATATTTCATGAGACCCGCACTGTTAAAATATTACAGATTCGCCTGCAGCAAATGGGACGAATATAGTAGGAATTCCTTAAAATTGCAAATATTGAGCATAAATAGCACGTGATTGCCCAACCTCTGAATCATATCTCTGGAAATACATTACAAATTGCAATAAAAAAGTAATGTTGCATGGCACTGACATATATGCAAACTGAAGAGGTGAGGCAGAGCCCTAAAAGATCGCGTCAATCCTAATGTAAAACGAATTAACACAACAAGTCTGTCAGCCGGTTGTACTAACTAAGGGTGCGTGATATGCGTACCGCGTCGCGCCAAACGGATCGCTGTCGTTTTTCCAGTGCTGGTTATTGGGTTTTGGAAATCACTAGGAGTCACTTGTGCAAAAGCAGAGGCTACACTGTGACCGCTGTGTCGTTAAATAACAATACCAACTCGCATGACAAGTGTGTGAGTTTGTTTCGGAGCCAAAATAACAAAAGGTTGGTCAAACGGATTAGCCAATACTTAGGGAGTTTAATCTTAACTTACGACTATGAAAACTAGCATTGCATTGTAAGTGTATTATACAACCGATTTTCCCTGCTATTGCTAATTTACATTTGTTAATCACAACAGTTGTAAAACTCAATTAGACTAGTGTGGTTCGAAAAACTGAAGCAACTCTCAAATCACACACAAAACAGGTGTATCTTAAAACAAACGTTGTAATTTTAAGCAAGTGAAGCCCAGACTGAGACTCTCCAATTGCCTGGCTGCTCCGTAAGCAAAAACTACTTTTATGTGTCCGACAACTAGGAACATACGTGCAACAGCGTTTAACCGAGTTTTAACCGATGTCCGATCGAGTATGTACGTAGCGATGCACAGCGGATTTCTTTTGAGTACTTTTGCCAAGAACCTAATATTTCAGGCAAAATTATACCGTCAAGTAAGCATAAACAGTTTTAGGAGGACTAAATGAAGAAATATCCATGCACTTCAGTTTTATCCGCAGCGTCAATTTTTTAACCAAAAGATGATCGGATCAAATATAAGTTGGCTATGATCTGTCGGAAAACACCAAAACACCAATTATCCAAAGGCCTACGCTGCGGTTTTAGCGATCGAATTAATCAAGGTACCCTTCAATGTGAATCATGGACTATATCGGGACAGTGCGTTGCAATCCGATCAAAAAAAGGTACTCAAAGATATCCCTATAATATGTGATTAGCCTTTGTGATAAATATTGTCCCTAGTGACTCGATAAGTAGTGGGATAGAGGTTTCGGCTACCATTCCACTGGTACGGGGTTCGAGGCTTGCTACCTCCACCTGATAAGACCAAGTGAGTTCGAAACGCCTCGAGGTGTGCAGTGTTTTCGGACGGGCAACACCCAGTTTCCATCTGCTTCTGCTACTGTCTCAGTGAGCTCCCACATACTTCCTTTAGTGTCATAAAGAATGAATTGACAAAGGTTCACTTCAGTGCGAATCGCGGATTACAATGGAATTGCGCGTCGCAATATAATCACGTACCGTGTACAGAAAAATGACCCCGCAATTAAAGCCAATGTTTCAGACAATATTTGCTAGATGTTGTAGTCTAAGAAGTGTAAACGCACTGGGTGCATCAATTTCCTTTTCATAAAAGTACCAGACCATGTGTATTCAGGAGGTGAACCAGTTACATTGCAGTTAAACGTCGAAAATAATGTGGAACGAATCTGAAAGATCCAGTTTTATACGTTTATGAAATCGCAATCAGCAGCGCATCCAAAGTAATACATATACTCTTGACATTTGATTATTGAATTTTTTCCAGTTGTGTAAATATTCATTTGGACTCAAGGTTCTTCCTGAGCAAAATCATCTTCCGACATATTGATTGACTAGCATGGGGATTGTATTCCCAAGGAGAAATCTACAACAGCCGACCTGTGCGCTTGCGGGCGGGCCTCCTAGTATTTTACCAGATTCTGTAGTATCCAGGCCACTTTCGGTTCACTGTCGGAACTAAACCCCAACACCAACCAAGGTGGTTATTTTTGGAAGTTGACAATATATTATAGCTGGTTGCAATGCCGTAGAAACTTATTCACAATTCCTGTAAATCGGCCATGGAATGGTCTATGTATGGTCTATATTATATCGTCTTATTCCCCAAACTAGCGACATTTAAAAAACAAATTTACTAAGCATTGTCCCATTGACATTTCCTTTTCTAAGTTGTGTTAGCCAGGGGCTTCACAGCGCATCCAAAATGTGTGTTACAAAAATTCCAATCATTGGATTTATACTTTATCAAATGTCATCTCAGCCCTTCTACTCATGTCTACGATGAATCCACTAAAACACTTTTATTTAATCATGGTTTTTGATTCTCTCAATAGGTGCAATCCCTGAATGAGCTCAATGCAGTTGTATCTATTAGGCCAACACGTGATTAGGTAGGTTGTTTATTCGTATATATATATATATATATATATATATATAAGCTGGGGATTTTTCTAATCTTATACCTATGCAAACAACTAGACAGAATTGCGAATCTAGAGTTGGACTTACTGTCCGCCGTTCCGTAGATAAGGAAAATATCCTTATTTCTATAGAGATGGGTCCATTTGGTAAGATCGTATTCCTGAGAAAATTGGAAAAAGCGAGAAAATAAGATGCCAGGGGGGCTACATTTTGTAAAAATATCCCTGGCTATATTCAGTAAGAAAATACATTACGCTTGTTACAAATTATATATGTCAACGTTTTAATTTTAAAGAGAAAAATGAAATCTTTAATTCCTTGATATAGTTAAAAACCCCTTTAGTAAATGTAACATATTAGCTTTTCGTATCTGGTTAAGACTAAGCAATTCATCATTGATTTTGAAAGCAAGTGACACAATTGCATTTTGTACTAAAAACTTATCTACTATTTTTTGTAAGCTATTTAATATCGCCCGCACGGAAACATTCAGGCTTTAATATATTGCTTCATGATGAGGCCGCCTGCCAATTAACTTTTAAACGCGGGACGCATTTGACGCATTTCCGATCTATGCGAATACATTACCCTCATATCCTTGCTTCTGAGATAAAATCAAACTTGCTTTCAATGCTAATATCTGTCATCAATTTGTTTTAAGAAGACTTACAATTTGCATTTTCTTGTGCCTGATAATCCTTATAACTGTTATACTTGGTATCGTTTGTAGACTCAGCCCATGATTCCAGAATAAGCGGAACCGGCAAGGTTTGGCGCGACAAGTGCTCCGCAAAAGAAAATTTGTCGTGTGTGTTAATTATTTGTTATTTGTGTCAATAAACTTTCTAATAAGTCGGAGTCTCTTCTCCAAGGAGACTCAGAAAATGTGTTGATCATAACGCTACCAGAAAGTAACACCATAGTAAACTCTGTTTCATCGTCGAAATTTGGCACCGGAGAGCACATCATCATCATCATCATTATACATTTCAGCTAGAGATGGTAAAACACCTCCGCTATTGTACCGCAATACATAAAGGGAATACATACATACATACAATACATAAAGGAAAAATAAATACGACAGTTGCATGCCAGCTGAGCTATCAGCAACGGATAGGCATCGTTCCGGTAAGCTACCAGCCGGCTACTAGGCAAAAAACAACAATTTAATTACGTTTTACCCTACGAAATAAGATCGTAGATGGAGGGGAGGCTAAAGGGATGGGGAGGTACAAAGAAACTCACAGCACGAACGCCACTGAGGTCGGCTCCTTGCCATGTCAGCAAGTGTATCCAGCCAAACGTGTTCACCGTCTTTTGAACCCCAACCAGGGAGCCGTGAAGCTCCAATCGAGGCTAGTTCCGAAGTGAGGGATTTCATTCCTCTGGACCAAGTCATCGCTTGGCCACCTCTCCTCTTCTTCCACCCACATCCCCGGTGAGCAAACAACGCACGTCGAGGGAGTCGGTGGGCTGGCATGCGTAACACGTGGCCGAGCCCACCGAGCCTGATGCGTGAAATAACGGTGCTGAGCGGTTCATTCCCTTTTCCTAGGCCGTAAACAAGGCGTCGAACACGCTCGTCACTTACGCGGTGTTCCCACCAAATGTGAGCCAAACTGCGAAGGCACCGATGTTCGAACGTAACTATCCTCTTCATGTCCGCCGATCTTAGGGGCCAGGTTTCGCAACCGTACAGTAAGGTCGAACGTACCACTGCATTGTACACTCTACCCTTCAGGGCGAGAGTAATGTCGCGCCGTCGCCATAGGTGGCGAAGGTTAGCAAAAGCGCCTCGAGCTTATGCTATACGATTCGTGATTTCATCTTCAATCCCACGGACGCTGATACAACTTCCCAGGTAATTGAATTTCTGAACGACTTCTAGCTGATCCCCACCAAGGGTCAGCACAGGGGGCGAACCCTTCCAATCCTGGAGGAACGCTTTGCATTTCGCTGGTGCAAAGCAAAGCCCGAAGAGGCTGACAGCCAGTGCTAATCTGTTCAGCGCGGCTTGACACGTCTGGGAGCTGTCACAGATGAGTGCAATGTCGTCTGCATACTCTAAGTCAAGAAGTCGTTCTCCTGGGAGTAGCTTCACACCTTCCAAGTCATGTCCTGTAAATGCAATCTCCATGGCTTCGTCAATAGCGAAGTTGAATAGGAAAGGTGACAGCGGGCATCCTTGTCTCACACCGCTGGAGATATTGAAGGGTGGCGACAGCTTGCCGTAAGCCCTTACTCTGCCCGTGCTACGCGCATGTAATGCTTGGATAATATTGACATATTTCTCGGGCACACCTTTCCTGAGTAGACAATTCCAAAGGACACATCGATCAACCGAATCGAAGGCACATTTGATGTCGAGGAACACGACTACGGTGGGCCGCCAAAATGTGTGACGGTGCTCCAACAACTGACGCAAGGTGAAGATGTGATCGATGCAGCCACGACCCCGACGAAACCCGGCTTGCTCCTCACGAATCTGGCTTCCACGAGCGCCAGTCAGTCTGTGGAGAATTATGGAGGCGAGTAATTTGGAGGCGATGGAGATCAGACTGATTCCTCTATGTTTGCCGCATTCCGAACGCGAGCCGCCTTTGAAGATGGGAACAATAACGGAGCGGCTCCAGTCGGTTGGGACAATCTCCTGTTCCCACAGTTTCACTAGTAATTCATGCAAAGCATCAACAAGAGCAAAGCCTCCAAATTTGAAGAGGGCTGGAGGAAGATCATCTGGTCCCGCGGCTTTGTTCAACTTCAACAGTCCGATCTCACGTTGGACTTCTGAGCGAGAGGGTGGATCCAAAGGGACAGCCCAAGGAGCGGGGCGATCAGTGACCGGCGAATCGAACAATTCTTGCTGATTAAATTGCTTTTCAAAATGCTCAGCCCAACGCTCCAGACGTTTTGACAAATTGTGGATAGGCTGTCCACTCTCGTCACGTATAGTTTCACTAACACCAGGTCTCCTGCTGCCCGTTACCCGTATCAGACGGAATAACTTACGATGGTTGCCAAAGGCAGCGGCCACTTCTATCTCTGACGCACGATGAGACCACCAAGATTCGCGGTCTTTCTTCAGGCTAGCACGGAGTTTTGCCCGGAGCTCTTTGCGAGTTTCATTGTGCTCGCTTCCAGCCTGAATTTGCCGGCGAGCATCGATAAGTTCCAGAGACTGAGAAGAGACCCAATGTCCATGTTGTCTATTAGACATACCACATGAGGATTTGCCTGCTGCTAGTAAGGTCAGTCGAACATGTGACCAGTGACCATCAATTGTCTCCTGTGAGCGCTTGCTCAACTCGCATGTCAGCGTACTTCGATACTCATTCAGAACAGCTGGCTTTGTCAGTTGGCTGGTGTTTATAAGCTCACAGCGTCGTCGTGGGCCTCCGCCAAAACACATCCGCACGTCAGCACATACAAGTGCATGATCGGTGTCCACACATGTGCTCCAAATCGAGCGGCAATTCTGGATGCAGCCTCTCCAGCGGTAACTTATCGCAATGTGATCGATCTGCGTCCAAGGCTAGTTCGAGGCTGGTGGGCGCCAAGTCACCCTTCGGCGAGTGCTGTGTCGGAAATTAGTGCTCGCAAGAAATAAGCGAGCATCTTCACACAAATGAAGTAACCGCTCACCGTTATCATTACGGGAGATTACACCGTGTTGACCGCCCAGATGCAGTTCATCAGTGGACAACTTTCCAACTTGTGCGTTCATATCCCCCGCCAGCACAACAGTATCCGGGCTTCTTCTGTGGCGAAGGAGCTGGGTCAGTTGGCGGTAGAAGTCGTTCTTTACCGAATCATCGCTACAGTTTGTGGGCGCATAGGCAGCGATGATGAATAGACATCTATTAGTCCCGCGCGACTTCGAAGCTTTAAACGAGCCAGCCAATCGGACCGCACACATCCGGCTACTGATTGGAATCCAATCAACCAGAGCAGCTTCAGCCCGGGGACTCAGGGCAATGCCAACACCAGCTTGGCCGGTGCTCGAAGCTGCATATTCACCGGATAGGCGCAAGGAGAAAATACTGCTTGCGTCACCTGAAGGGGATCGCAGAGTGAGCACAGTGCTCGAGTCTTGCAGGCGAGTCTCTGATAAGCAGCAGATATCGATCGAGAGGGTCTCCAATGTTCGGGCAAGTGCTGCCTGTTGACCGATTTGTAGCAGTGTGCGTACATTGAGGCATGCCAATCTGAAGGAGGATCGATGGCTCCAAATGGAAGCCGATGAACTGGATTGGACCGCTTGGTTGGACCTGGGCTTGTCGACAGGAGAGGAGTGACGCTCCGCGTTCACGTGTGAGTTGAAATTAGAAGGTAAATGCCTAGCGAAGCATGTTGGGGGAGGGCCAAGAATCGGGGGGTTGAAAACTGGGGGGATGTAAGTGAAGTTGGAATGGGACGGTAAGAGTGAAAAAGCGTAAGAGGGGGAATAAGAAGACGGGAAGGCTTGAGCAGTAGCATCCAAACCCCTATCCACCCTGCTCGATGCAGCAGATAGGGCACCGTTTATTATCCTCTGCGGTGGCCAGAGCATCAAGAAATTGTTTTAAGGAAAATTCATAGTATTGCGTGGGCAGGATACTGTCAGGTTGCCCAGGCCTAGACAGGAGAACGATTAGGGTTCTCAACCAAAGCCTTTGGTTCAAAAACCTGACCGCAAGGCAGCGGGTTTGGCGTTGGGCTACAAGGAGTCCATTTTAAGGAATATGGTGCCACCCTCATTCCAACCCCCAACCTGGAGGACCAGGAGGCTGAGTTTGTCTGGCCTCTAACCATTGACCAATCTGGTATGAGTGACTCTGAAGGTGCAAAAGCACCACCCAGCATGGCTCAATGGATCACTGAGGCACACAAACCATCGCACCACGGTAAGGTCCAGCCTCATTGCGATGGACCGGAGAGCACAGTCTATATTAAAACCAGTGGTTCGGAGCATACATTAATTTCGTCCATGTAAAGCATGGTAATATTTCTAATGGCAGGGAGATAAACCTCATGTTTGTCCAGTGGCATGCACTGTATCACTCGCCACGATTCCAATTTTACGTGTGATAAATATTTCAAATGTTTAAAAGATATCAGATCACACCTACCAAATGTTTGTATTCGTCTCTCGGATCGAACACCCGCGCAGCATCTTGAAAACCTGAAACATGTTAAGATGAGCTGTGAGTCGAATATACGAAGGCTACATAAGAGAATTTCGAGCATTTTTCGCTCTGCTTAGGCAGCTGCCGTAGTAATTCAACGAAAGGTGACAAACGTGCCGTTATAGCGTTAGGGCGTTATGGGCTTTTAGCCAAGATATATTTATGGATAGAATGTGTTTAACCATACTGTGAATTAATAAGCTAAGTTTTGGCTTGTACAACCGGTTATGTGCCGTCGCCTTCACCAACCTTGCAAAGCCCACGATACGACGGGAGAGAGTAGAGCGGCGCACGTGAGATTCAAAGGCATCCACTCTTCTCTCAATAAGAGGCCAGCAAGATGTGCATGGATCCCCTGAAAAAGCAAAAAGCACTTTATTAGGTGCATAACTGCATGTGATTAGATAACGAAAGTACATTTCGAAGCATAGTAAGGAAAGTAATTGCAAAGAATATATTAGGTACATATCATCATTAAATTTCTTTATTTGTTGTTTCATTCCTGCTGAGCAAACTGAATTAATAGCAGTTTGTAGATTGTTTCTTGACTGAAGACGGCTGTTTTAATCATTTGATTCGTTTTTCTTTTTAAGGTACCAGCCGAACTACTCAATTTTACTTGTTTCATGAAAGTACTTCCGGTCATGTGAGAACCATAACTGCAGTTCTTCGTCATCTAGGTGACTGCATAAGAGCCTTTTGGATATCAGTTGTACCAGTATGAGGCAGGTATTTCCACCGCTTGTACCTACCTAGACATCCGGTTGACAACAGCTATGACACCTGCACGGAATGGCCAGTTTGCCTGCTATTACGTTTTAGCAACCGGGCTACACACAATTGTTTAATTCACCGGTGATATAACAGGTCGTCCTGCCGTTTGGTGGAATAGTCATGAGTGTGAACTTATTCCATGTTGCGTGTAGATTTATGAAGCAAACCACTCCTTTCCGGCATTCCAACGCGGCCGTGTGACTGTGGTGGGCCTTGAGCAAGTACTACTTTGCTACCAGTCAGTAGTATAGAAGCACCAAGAAAACAGACGGCTACGGTCCTAGGTAGCAGAAGCCCGCTTTGGAGCCGCAGATGCATATGCAGTAGTACTGGATACGAAAGCAACACGCGCCTGTATCTGGTAGGTAGGCGCTGGAAGAGGAGAGGGAAGTTTGGTAGTTAGGTCTGACCCATATGACTGATTATAAATAAACCAGTTCATAACTTGTGTTCTTGTAATCATCCTTTTTAGGCACCAGTGTGCAAAAGTCGTTAAATACCAACTGCTCTATTCACCTTCAAATTCTTTTTTGTAATTTGCGTAGCGCACGCTACGTCTGTATCCATTAGTATTACAAATACATATACTGCTCCCAAGCGTTCTTCTTCTGTTTAGGCGTTGGTATGTTTCGCTGTGGCTCCATCACCGTCTTGTTTTCTTGCTAGTTCTATACTGTTGGCGCACTGTTCTCTGCTTAAGACCCACAGCATCCTCGTCATGTTGTCAATGAAAACTGAAGCAATCCAAGTGTGGTTAAAAGTTCAAAAAAATGCGATGATAAGTACATTTCGTGTAGTTCAGTAGAAAAACCATATCTACCCAAAACGACTCACATGCGCTCCCACGAGTCCAATGTTGTCCCATCTGATGTAGTAGTAATGGTCTTTCAGTGATCTGAGTGAAAAAATCAGCAACCATATATGGGAATGTTGTAGGCTATTTCGATCTGTCAGCAGAAGATCAGCGTAGGTGCAACGTAGTCACAACAACACAAAAGTTAATTGTGTCTGACACACGATAGTTTGCGCAAAAGAAACTGGTAGCGGTAGATAAAATGTCATTCGGCGGTATTGGCCAAAAGCACAGGTATCACCTTACAAACACCAGAGAACATTGCTCACAAATATTGTCAATTGTTGTGGTATATGACTTGGCCAGCTAGGGTAATATGAAATTATTAGTACGAGCACCATTTTCTACTTGATGAATAAGTTAGCACATTTGGACACTTGTTAGTGTATGCATTGCGGTTGTTTCCCTAGTCAATACAGTAAGTTCAACTTACTTCATTTGGATGGGTGCTGACTAGTGCGAAATTCTCCTTCCATCCTTTTGTTTTGACAGCCTTGGTCTGTGATAATCAGTTTTTACCGCATTAATGAATTACTTAAAAGTCGCCTCAATGAGGGCAACAGAACTGATCATTTGGATTATACGTTGGTACGGAGAATTTGTAAAGTATCCGATAGGTTTCGCGAGAACACTGCGAATGACCTGCTAGGTTTTAGCGAGAACTGTGTGAGCATAGCAGAATCTGATTGTTTCTGATGTACAAGTGAATAAAGGCTTGACTATTTGAGTTACAGAAGTGTTTATTCACCGTGGGCACATGCATAATATAAGCATCCATGTTACATAACATTCCGTTTTCTAAACGTAGCAGATATGTTTAGTTGCCAACTCGCACAACTTTCTTCATCCGGTCGCCGTGTGCCTTGTTTGTGGACGACATGAAGATTTGGAGAGAAATTGACGCTTCCGATGACTGTGGCCTACTTCAGCAAGACCTCAACCGCCTATCCACATGCACTGCAGAAGTTCATCTCCTGGTCAACCCAGCCAAGTCTGTATGTATGAGCCTGAGGAAGGGTTCTGAAGGCCGAACACATACCCTTGAAGGACAACCGCTATATTCCACATCCTCCGTGAAGGACCTAGGTGTGTTCTTGCGCTACGATTTGAAGTCCGTGGACAACACGAACAGGCTATATCGTAACGGGCTGCGCATGCTTTGTGCGCTCAAACGTAGCTTTGGCACATGGTCTGAGGAGGTTGCCACTCGTCTCTTCTCTTCCATCATTAGACCAATGCTAGAGTACGGTTCGCCCGCCTACTTACCGATTACCGAGGCGAGGCCCAAAAGATCGAACGGGTCCTACACGTTGTTACGAGGCTCATCCCGAGTGCATGTGGATTGGGGTATGAAGACCGGTGCGAGAAACTAGAACTCTACACCTTGTACTACCGTCGGATGTGGGTCGACCTCATTATGACCTACCGCATTCTACATCTCGGTGACTTCCTCATGCTGAGGCCAATGGTGCACTTACGATGGCCATGCAGCACACGCGGACACAGATACAAACCTGTCGTGCCTGATGTGAATCGTGTTATCAACCCACTGTGCTTCGAACGGAGAGTGGCAAATTTTTGGAACAGTTTAACTGAAAAGTGATGGAGGCAACATCTGTGCAGCAATTCAAAACGTTGTTAGATTTATATTTTACCACTATTTGATTTAGAGAACGATTGCACACTTAGGACATGTCACATTTGTGAGTCCTGAAATATCGTGAGTCAGATGTTTTAAATGTTACATGAGAACGACAACGATATTCACGGTAGAAAACTTTTATAACGTTTTTCACCATATTTCGAAAGAGTTGTACATAATTCATTTCTACTTGCTCTATAATACGGTATTCAGTATTCAGAATTAGTAAATTATAGGCCACGGTGCTTTTAGTTGGAATACTTACTGTAGCAGTAGCCGATAATTGAAGATTTCCCCGTCGATCCCTTCTTTGATTACGCGGATTAGGGCTCGACCAATCCAATTCTGCACGCGCATTGTTATCACATTCAAGGAAGCAGACAAAAACACAGCGAGCTCATCTAATAGTCGCTCTTGACCGGGAGCTTGCATTCCATTTACGGATACCCTGGAATTGTGGGACAAGATTGCTCACTTAGTGAAAGCCCTTTATATAGGATTTAAAATAACGGGTATAGGTTTGTTTCTATCAATTTCTGAAATACTCTTTGCGTCCAAGTGCCAACGCGTAAGCAAGCCTAGAAGCATCCCCCTTGTCCATAAAAACGCATGGACAGTGCTTGGAACGTTAGAAGCTGAGGGAGTGACATTTGGTCACATCCTGTTTTTGGATTGTTGAGTCTACTATGAATGATTTATTGGATCAATTCTCATTCAGAGACGATGGCAGGATTATTTGTTTATTATCTTTCGTTGATTTTCGTCTAAAATACAGTCACTGTAAGCAACGAATTCGCTTGGGTTTTGAGCAACTCGTAAAAATCCCGGGTCAAACCAAATCAAAACCGAAAATGAACCACGGTTCTATAGAAAAACTATTCAAAAATCAGTATGGACGTGTCACCACAATACCCGCTCATTGTTGAAACAACGGGATCCCCACAAGGCAATTAAGAAGACAAGGAAAGTGTGTCATGTCATTTGTAACTGTACAGATAAATCGCAAAACCCAGAGTCCGGGAGCTGAATCCCAAGACTTTGTTATTAGGTGCCTGAGCTCTACCCAAATAGGTTGCTGTACAGCACATAACTGGATAGTGTGTTGGTTTTCTATGATAAATTTTAGGGATGGTTATTTGTCACAAGGCTAGTTCGTTAAACTTTAGTGAACATAAAATCCATATTGTGAAAAAGGCTATGCAATCGGTCGGTCTCATATGCCACATGCTACCCTTGAAAGAAACCAGACTAATTGCTTTCAAAATCAGTGCCAGACCTTTGCTTGATTCCTATTGTGTTACATTCAGCAACGTACGAATGTGCGGTTTGCGAGCCATTGAAAACTTCCAACGCGCCTTCATGAAGCGTATGTTTGCTTATTCAACCGCTCTTTCATCTAAGGATAGCTACACAAAGCGGAAACTTGAACATATTTGGTTATGAAGAATGCATTCAACTCAGTGCTTTCTTCACAAACTCGGGAGCCGGAAAGCATATGTTAAATAGTAACCGCTGCACTTTCCGAGAAATACCATTTGTGAACTGCGCGACAGTAAATGTCTAACCTCTTCCAAGATTCAGGATCAACATAAAGATAAATTTCTATCATTCCAGGTATGGCTCCTTATGGAATCAGATGTCAAAATTCGATTAGATGTATTGAAACTTTTTCAAATCCAAGAAAATACTAAAGATTTATCCGGCAACTGAGAGTGAAACGCATTTTAAGAATTCAGTTTGATGATGAGAAGCTGTATGAAGGAGGGCCGGATCATAAGATAAAAAGTATAGACTGTAAACATCTTCAACAAATGTTCCAGCGCTAACTTGATCGTCTACGTTGAGCCGTTACAAACAATTCACATGCTATTCTGAATCTCCTATGCGCTTTTGCACCATTCAAACTTAGTTCCTACCAACATTATTCTGATCCGAAAATTTCACTGGGGTGGGGCCAGGAACTCTTTTTCAATTTCCCCTTAAAATGAAAAATGCCAAAGTTGTGTTTTGCGATTCTCTTCGCTACATTTATTCTGTAATGTTAACAATTTCCTTACCGTTTCTGGTTAACAGTTCAGCAACACATACCAGATTTCAGTGATTTGAGAAAACGGACTCCCTATTGTACAAATAACTGCCACTAATAATGACTCCAAAAATTCGTTTTAGTACCTTTTTGACTATGGACAACTCGTGCAGTTATTTGTCGTCGCCTATCACGGTAAACAATTTGATCGTATTATCTGTTCGATCTATTTTATATTGTGGTAAAACATGCTATTTGCTTACTGTCTAGCATTATTGCCATTTTATTTATTATATACCGTTGTGCTTATTTTACATTTTCCATATTCGATTTTTGCCTACGACTGGGCTTATCTCCTAAGATGACGGATTGACGTTTCCAAACTATGAAAGACTAGACCCATGCAAGGCGCTTTGCCACCGACGGACTGGCGTATAAAAGGTCCCATAGCTAAATGATCCGCATAACGGACCGGGGTGAGACGTCATCGCCCATAATACATAGATAAAAGCAGCTCTAACAAAAACTCCACAATTGATAAACAGCTGATGTTTTATCTGCTAATTTGCAGAAAGGACACTCAGTCAGGGAGGGCATGGAAATGAGGGCAGAATCTTTCGACGGAATACCCTGTGTGGAAGCAGTTCCTCTGGGGACAGTTCCACGGATGGCCGTAGTGCTTTACCTGAACATTTGTTTAAATCTGTAGTTGTTATTGTTCGCAGCTTCTCAATTTCTTTAATACCTTAAACCTGCCAATTACTTTACAATTCCGTTTATGTATAATGAGTGAACAAGTACTTAATTTATGCGATCGGGCTGTACATATTGATAAGAGGACCTAGTTGAATTGCGTCGTTCACCGCAGAGTAATATTACATTTGTTAATGTGATGTGAAACAAACATAAGGTGGGTGTGACCTCGGAGGCAAGAATAAAACATTGGCGGGCATGCGGCGCTGGGGGAAATTGCAAAACAGGAAACAGACTATTGTGACAGCGAAGGTGGGAATAAAACATGGGGACGTCAAATGTGATGAAGCAGGGGGTTTCATATTCTGGGGTATGCTAACACGACTTTCTGAAACAGCCACACCCAAGAAGCATTTTCTATAGAATCCAGGAAAACGGATTCATTCAATCCAGACTTCGTCAGGTTGTAAGCTTCAATCAATAGCAACTAATGGTAACCATGCTCCACTTGCGCGTAAATGATAGCCACTCTCTTTTCTTTGGTATCAACAGTGGCGTGTGACGAAGTAGGCTAGCAACACATTTCTAGTTCCACTTTTCTATGGATGACATCTTATAATTTTATCTGGAACACTGTTGGCCTAATATGGTCGAACAGATCCCAGTGATCGGCTGCGTGACTTGGATTATATTGGTGACGTCGCGGCATTTTGTGACTGCTGGCGGGTTGGCCGGGACCTGTTACGCAGTTTGCAGGTGTCGGTGAAACATTTCGTGATGACCTATGTACACTCAAACTAAAAGGTTTTCCTGCAGGTAGGCTAGAAGCTGCTGTTACCGTCAACCTATCCGGCTCTTCAGTGAAAGCAATCAAGACGTTCGTTTAATTTAAAAACATGCAATTCCCATTATAATTCGAAAAAGAAACTTATAAGATGCAAGCTGTCAGATGAATTAGTCATTTCTTTCAGGCTAATCAGCCACACATTGCGCAAAAATTTTAGATCTACAAAACGCGGTTATATGGGATCAATAGTTAGCAAATCGTTGATCAAAAGTTGCGCCCCACGCCACTAGTATAAGATAAAACTCACCGTCATCTGTTTATGCACACAAAACAGTGGATGTATTCGATCGATTAAAATTGTTTCCGGTTGGGGCTGCTGCTTGCGCATAAAGACATTGGGTGACTCATCAGTTGCTGATGCTCAACAAGCACCCTGCGATTGCAGAAGCGTATCGCTATCTCACTTTACCCTATTCGGCCTTCATTAACCCCATCGGCTGTCGAAACAGACGTGTATACTTTCATTGAATCTGACAATTAAATTCGGTCAGTGGGCCCGACCTAGCTGTTTTCGCAGCTACAGGCAATTCGTGCAAGAGATAGGACCAATATTGATTTTTTAACTGTGCCCTGATGGGACACATAAGCCCTAGTCATGTCAGAGAGTTCATCAGAAGCATCAACAGCCTTATCAACAGCATCATCATCATCATACTCATCAATATTAAACTCCGAGGTAAACGCCTAAGAATTGGAAATCACCGGCTACTCATGTTTCCGCTGTGATAGACCATCAAATGGTCGCGGTGGCGTGCTACTTTACATAAAGTCTTACTTGTGTGGGAGATTAGTGAGCGCCTACCATAGCGCTGATGGACTATGTGAGCAGTTATGGTGTTCGATTCACCTCAGACGCGGCGAGTTGCTCGTGGGCGTGGTATATCGCAGTCCACTGAGCCGCTATTTGGACTGGTTGCCGCGTATTCGCAACCACATGAGTCGTCCGATGTTCCTACTCATGGGCGATTTCAACTTGCCCCGAATACAGTGGTCTGAAGCTGAACTTCTCCCTGGCCACTGTGAAGTCGAGAGGAAGTTTACGGAGTTGATATTTGAAACTGGGGCCACACAGCACATCAACCAACCGACATACATTACAGCGCGCGCGACTCCATCATGCTTAGACCTGCACTTGACTAGCTGTGAGCAGCGTGTACATAACATTAAAGTCTTAGAGCCTATGGGAGCGAGTGACCACTCAGTGATCATAGGCAGTTTAGAACTACCGCTACCGTATCCTCTCCCACTAGAGTCAGCCTTCAACTATTGGAAGGCAGAATTTAATGGCCTCATTCGAGCAGCGAGCCAGATAGACTGGTCTTTACCGCAGGATTCATCTATTGAAACCTGTTGGACTATCATTAAAGAGGGAGTGAAATCGTTGTGCGCCCGATTTGTGCCCCTCAAATTTCGGAAAGTTGGACCAGTCAAACCACATTGGTTTGACAAAGAGTACAACAAAATGGCCCTACGGCGACGTAGACTATGGAACAAATTCGTGTTATCTGGCTCTGATGAGGACTACAATGCCTACAAGGCACAGCGAAATCGCTGCAGCGACGCGAAAACAAGACAACGCTGAAGCTTCGAAGAGGAGCTTGCATCTGCCTCAAAAACTGCTCCCAAGAGGATCTTCGCATATGTGAAGCGGCGCCTAAGGCCTATAGCCAATATCCCAGTGTTATATGGCTCAGAAGGACAGCCCCTAACCTCGAGTACAGATCGTGCGTCAGCATTGGCAACGCACTTCGCCTCAGTATTCGCAAGTGACCAGGTGTCTGTAATGAGTTCGACGAGCACCGCTCCAGCCGAACTTAACAGCCTGGACTGCAATATTGAGGATGTGCGCAAGCTTCTAGCAAATCTTGACGGGACGAAACCT